GTATTGTATACCTAGATTGTACCAATAAACTCAATTTAAAAAAAAAAACATAAGAATCTTCAGAAAGAAGACATCAATATGCTTCCAAAAACTTCATAACTCCTCAAAAGCTGATATCACAGACATTGAAGTGAATGAAAAAAAATAAACACAGATGAAATGATTGAAGAGCTCAAAGAAGAGGCAAACAGCTAAATGAAGCAATTGCTAATATGTTTAATGAACTTACAGAAGATACAAATAAGCACCTGAATGAAGGAAGACAATGCAAGATTTGAAGGACCACTCCAGTAAAGAATTAGAGGATATGAAAAGGAATGATGTAAAAATCCTGGAAATAAAATAGTCAAATAATTTGGCAGTAGAATATCAGAATTTGAGGACAAGATTGATGTAGTAGCACATTTACTCAGTGATTTTAATAAGACAAGAAGCAATCAGTAGGTGATCCAAGAGCTCCTAGATGATGTTATAAGTAAAAACTTAAGAATAATTGGTTTCAAGGAAAGGAGTAGAGTCCAAGTATGATGGTATAAATATTTATTCTTTGAAATTATTACAGAAAACTTTACAAATCCAGAGAATGAGATAGATTCATGGATTAATGGGGAATTAGTACTCAAGCACACAAAAAAAGAACTTCTTCATGACACATCATAGTCAAAATTCTAGAAATTCAGAACAAGGAGAGAATATTGAAAAATATTAGAAAATGCTAAATAACTTATCAAAATAACAGCAAATTTCTTAGCATAAGTATCAAAGGATGGAAGAGCTGCAATGATGTTTTTCAATTTCTAAAAGAGACTAAATACCATGCCAGATTACTATATCTTATAAAATTATCTTCAAATTTGATGTGTAAATACTTTCTGTGATAAACAGAATTTAAAGAAATTCATGACCACCAAATTTACATTGAAGAAAATATTCAATGGATTACTAAACAAAGAGAAGGCAGTCAATATCAGTAAAGAGCATAAAAGAAAGAAAATATCTAACTGGGTGGTAGTTGAACAAAAGAAATATATTAAAGGAATCAAGCACTGGAAAAATAATATAATGTCAGGCATCAGTAAATATCCTTAAATAATAATAATACTCAACATAAATAATCTCACCACTTCAATCAAAAGACATGGATGACAGGTGCAATCAAAAAATGAATTGCAACTGTAACTTACCTGCAAAAAATGCACCACCCCTACAAAGAAATACAGAGACTCAAAATGAAAGGATAGAAAATGATACTCCAGACAGCTAGAGTCTGAAAGAAAGATGGACAAGCTATTCTAATTTCTGAAAAAGTTAACTTCAAACCATATCTGATCAGAAGAAAGACTGTTACATATTGAAAAAGAAAATTCACCAATAAGAGATAGAAAATGTAGTATATACAAATAATAGTGCACCTATGTTTATAAAAGAAAAAGAGTTACAAAAGTACTGATGAACATAAGTACAATAATAATGGAGGGCTTTAATACCCCATTCTCACAAATTAAAAAGTCATCCAGGCAAAAGTCAAGAAAAACATCAGTTAAAACTCACCATGCAGTAAATGGATTATATCATACACGCAGCTTTTTATCCAACAGTAGCAGAATACACATTATTTTCAGCAGCCCAAGGAACTTTCTCCAAAGCTGGCTTTATTTTAGGCCACAAAGCATGTCTCAATATCTACCAACATTAAAATAATCTCCTGTACTCTTTCAGATCATGGTGGAGTAAAACTAGAAATCAACAGCACGAAAACCATAGAAATTGCATAAACACACAGAGATTGAGCAATACACTCTTGAATGGTGAATGGGCTGTACAAAAAAAAAATCAAAACATAAGGAACAAATATTGGAAACAACATATCAGAATTCACAGGATACATGGGACAAATTAGTTCTAAGAAGAAACTATATGTCTGATATCACTTAATTGAGCAATACTCTTGAATGGTGAATGGGCTGTACAAAAAAAAAAATCAAAACATAAGGAACAAATATTGGAAACAACATATCAGAATTCACAGGATACATGGGACAAATTAGTTCTAAGAAGAAACTATATGTCTGATATCACTTACTTATAAATGATTCTAAATAAATAACATAAAGATATATATCAAGATTCTAGGAAAATAAAAATAATCCTTACCCCAAACTAGTACCAGGGGAAAAAAAATCACAAATATCCTAGTGGTAATCAATTAAATTTAGTTTGAAAAAATATAGAAAAGAACAATGGATCAGAGTTCTTTCTTTGAAAAGATGAATGCAGTTTGATATGCTCTTAGTCAAAGTCATAAAAGAAAGAAGAAAGAGAAGACCCACATCAGTATAATGAGAAATGAAAAGGATGAAATTACAGGAGACAACGTTGAAATCCAGCATATTATAAGAAACTATTTTGACAACTTGCATTTGACTAAATCGAAGAATCTGGAAGAAATAGGTAAGTTTTTAGACATATATAATTTAGCAAAATTGGACCAAGATAAAAATAACTTGAATGTCCATAATAGGCAATGAAATTGATGCAATAATAAAAACTGTACAAAATAAGAACAGCTCAGAACCTGATGGCTTTACCCCTCAATTACCAGATCTTTAGAGAAGAACTAACACCAATACCTCAAAATTTTCTATGTGATTGAAAGGAAAAGAATACTTTGAAAATCTCTTCATAGAGCTCGAATTACTGTGACTGTGTTTAGACATCCCCATCCAAAGCCTCATGTGGTCATAGGTGGGTCTTTTCCAGAGGTGGTTGGATCTAGAGTGTGTGACTCTGATTGATTCATAGTACAATGCTAGGATCAAGGGAATTGGGATTAAGGATGTGAGTGTTACCCACTCTAAGGGTTAGTAACCTGGACAAGATATAAGAAAAGAAAGAGAACTAATACATTTCTCTCTTGCTTACTTGCTGTGAACTCTTTCTCCTCTGCCATGCTATCCTGCCTTGGAGCCAACCAACTATGAACTGAAGCCTCTACAAACTGAGGGCCAAATAAACCTTTAACTTTGGGTGTTGAGTTTTTGTCTCAGCAACAAGAAAAGTAACTAAGAAAATTATGCCAAAGCTAGAAAAAAAGACTAAAGACTTGACAATAAAAGAAAATCATGTCAATACCCTTGATGAACATAAATGAAAAAATTCTCAATATTTGTGAACAGAATGCAACAAATCATTAAAAAGATCATACATCATGACCAAATTGGCTTTTACCAAGAGATGCAAGCACAGAACAATATACATAAATCAATAAATGTAATATACATCATCAGAGTCAAGGATAAAATTCACATGATCATCTCATTGAATTTAGAAAATACCTTTGTCAAAATCCAGTGAACCTTCATACTAAAAATACTGAGGAAGATAGTTATAGAAAGCCATAGAGGACATAAAGCCAATGCCATACTGATAGGGAAAACTGAAAATGTACCCTCTAAAATCAGGAACAAGAAAAGAGTGTCTGTTCTCAAAATTTTCATCGGTATACTGCTGGAAACTTTCATCAGAGAAATCTAGCAAGATAAAGAAATACAAAGTATGTGAATGTTTATTTTCAAATGACATTACTTTTTACAGAGAAGACCCAATAATACTCCACCAGAAGACTCTTAGTGCTAATAAATTTTGACTCAGTTGCAGGATACAAATCAACACAAAAATCAGTAGAGTTCCTAAAAACTGATAATCAACTGACTGAGAAAGAAATCAGGAAAATAACCTGATTCAAGGTATTATTAAAACTTAAATATCTAGGAATCAACCTATTGATGAGTTGAAAGATCCCTATAACAAAATTAAAGAACTTTAAAGAAAGATATTGATGAAGATGATAGAAAAAGGAAAGGTATCTGTGTTCCTAGATGGGTAGAATTAATATTGTTAAAATGGTTAAGGTAACAAAAACAATATATAGATTTCATATAATACCTATTAAAATACCAATAACATTTTTCACATAGATAAGAAAAACAACTCTAAAATTTATATGGGCCAAGAAGTGCCAAAGCAATTCTTAGCCAAAAAGGCAAAGCAGGAATCATCATCATCTTGTGTTGCAAAATGCTACAAAGCTGTAGTAACCAAAACAGCATGGTGCCAGCACAAAAATAGACATGCATACCAATAGAATAGAATTGAAGACAAACAATCCTAGGCACCTTTCACCATGTCTTTTTGACAAAGGAGCCAATAACTTATGGAGGATAAAGATAGGCTAATAAGTGTCCTGGGATAACTGGTTATCAACATCTAGAGAAATGAAAGTAGGCCCATATCATGTACCCTGTACTATAATCAAATAAAAAATGGATCAATGCTCTAAATATAAAACAGAAATGCTCAAACTGCAGGAAGATACATAGGATACATAGGGGAAATATCACAAGCCATAGTCATAGAAACTTTCTGAACAGAACTTCAATATACAAGAGCTAATACCAAGAATCAATCATGGGATTATGTCAAATTAAAACCTTCTTCACAACAGAAGAAATAATTGGTAGAGTGGAAATACAACCTGTAGAATAGGGGGAAAAAAATCTGTCAACTACTCTTCTCAAAGAAGACTAATATTAAGTGTGCATAAAAAACAAAAAAAATTAATCCTTCCCAAATGACCCAACCAAAAAAGTGGGCAAATGAACTCAACAGAAACCTTAAAAAAGGAAAAATACAAATTGGCCAATAATTACATTAATAAATATTTAACATTCTTAACTATTAGGAAAGGTAGATAAAAATAATTCTGAAATTTCATCTTACTCTAGACAGAATGGTATTATTAAGAACACCCATGACAAATGTTGATGAGGATGTGAGAAAAGAAGAAAGTCTTCTATGTCATTGGTGGAAATATAAACTATCACAACTTCTGTGAAAGTAGTATGTAAATTTCTCAAAAATTAAAAATTGATTTTGATCTAGCTATACTCCTGGTTATATTCCCAAAAATGTTAAAGATACCATACTATAATAATACTTACATATCTGTGTTTGTATCAGTCCAACTCACAATAGCTAGGCTCTGGAAACAACCTAAATGGCCATCAAAACATGAAAGGAAAAAGAAAATGTGATATTTGTGCACATTAGAATATTGTTCAGCCATACAAAGGAGCAAAACCATATTATTTGCAGAAAATGGATGGAATTGAGACCATAATATTAAGTGAAATAACACATAAAATGTTAAATCTTACATAGACATTCTTATATGGGGACTCTAAAATGTAATTTAATTAGAGGTAAGTAGAGATTATAGGAAACAAGAAGGCAATCTTTCTGTGGAAAAAGAATATGACTGAGGAGGAAGGTGAAGAGAAAAATGATAAAGAAAAAATATATGTATGTATGCCAGTTTCTCAAAATACATGTAACTATTATGTATGACAAATGACACTAATAAAGATGAGAAAAACAAAATAATATTTTCAAATATTTGAAGAAAAGAAATTACAATTTTTGAAAATGACAGGGAGACGTAACAATATTTCCATATGTGAATTTCCTTCTTCAAAGGTTTAAAACTCATGAAAGACCTAGCTTTTATAAAATATGTCAGTTCTTTAAAGATACTATTTAAAATCATCCTTCAGTAGTATTCAATTTTATAGAAAAACCACAACTTCCTTATCCAGTCTCCAACTGAGGGGCAAATGGGGTGTTTCCAAGTTGTAGCTATTACAAGCTGTGACGTTATAAACATAGGTGTGCATATATCACTGTGATATGATTCTTTTAATTCTTTTGGAAAGATACTCAGCAGAGGGATGGCTGGGTCATAAAGAATGAGAAATTAGACTCATTCTTAGGAAAATAGATACATATTGAAGATATACTCCTAAGTGAAACAAATAAGTCATATATGTATAAATACTGAATAGTTTCTCTGGTGTGAAAAACTATAATGGTACAGAAGATCCTAATGATATAATTGACCATGTGAAACAGAAAGAAAAGTGATAAAGGTGTAGGGGAAATGGGAAGGGTAGGGGAAAGGTTATAAGGGAAAAGGAAAAAAATGAGAAAATGAAAAAATGGAAATAAAGTATTTGTAAAATAGGGAAGGGAGGAGGGGTAAAGGGAGGGCAGGGACAAGGGGAAAAAATGAGAAACAAGGCCTGTCATGTAAAGGTACAAGATCCCAACAATAAATGTAACTGTCCTGTGTACCTAAAATGTACCGATAAACTCAATGAGAGGAAAAAAAAAATCATTCAGCCCAAACATGTAAGCTCCATATGCCTGACACTTTCTGAAAAAATATTTGTAGTTCTGTAAGTAGGATAATGTCTAGAATAATATCATTTATTCAAAATTTATATTCAGAAATAGAATGAAAATGAAAATAAAATAAGACTTCAGATCAGAGCTTTTCTAACATTCCATTCCACCTTCTTTAAGGCATTTGTCTATTTTTGGAGATACTGGGCCACAGAGTTTTCATATGAAAACATAGATAGATTACAAAACATTATTATGCAGTGTGACTTAAGTATATCTTTCTAAGAACTATAAAGTAACTCTTCCTTTCCTTTATTCTTAGTTGAAGCTTTAGTAATCAATTTTCCACAGAATGCATATGTTATTTGATCATACTCCAAAAGAACACAAAGTGTATAAGAATCATTCCATACACTAGAATAATTTTCATGGCAGAAATAAATAGGTATATATTCTACTAAATAAATAGGCATATTTTATTTATCATGCACTACCCAATCAATTCCATTAAAATGAGACATGATTAAAATAATTTTCACTTTGAAATTAAAATTATGACTACGATTATTGAGGATTAATTCTCATTCTAGATCACATTTACAGTTAATAGTCCAACTTTAAACTGCAAAGGCAATGATAGACTATTATCATGGTGTATGGTATTACCTGTGACTCAAACCCCCTCAATACTCAAAGGTTTTTTTTTTTTTCACTAAGTATATTGGTACTTTTAGGTATACAATACACTTACATTTATTATTGGGATCTTGTACCTTTACATGATGTATCTTGGATATTATTTTTACCACATTCCTTTGTGCTCCCATCACCCACTCCACCCTTTCCTATTTACAAAGACTTTGTTTCCTTTTAACATATTTTTCTTTTCCCATCTTTTATTTTCCCTACCATTCCCACTTCCCCTATTCACTTAGTCCTTTTTTCTCCTATTTCACATTATCAATTATACAATTTAAATCTTATTTAAACTTTTAGTTTTTCACACCAGAGAAGCTATATGGTATTTACAATGTGTGTCCTATTAATCTCACTTAAGATTATGTCCTCAATGTGCATCCACATAGCTATAAAGGTCTCTAGTTTCTCATTCTTTATGGCTGAGTAGTATTCCATTTTATATAAAAAAATCTTCTTTATCCAGTCTCTAGTTGATGGGCAATTGGGCTGTTACCAAGTTTTAGCTATTACAAACTGTGCCACCATAAATATGGATGAGCATGTATCACTGCGGTATGATTATTTTAATTATTTCAGGAAGATACACAGCAGGGGAATAGCTGGGTCAAAGAAGACATCCAAATCCTAGTTTAAGGTATCTCCACATTGATTTCCACAGTGGTTGCACCAGTCTGCACTCCCACCCACAATGAAGAATGGTTCCTTTCTCCCCCAGAACCCTGCTAACATTTGCTGTTGGTTGATTTCTTGATAGCAGCCATTCTTTGTGGGGTAAGGTGGAATCTCAGTGTTGTTTTCATCTTCATCTCTTGAATGACCAGTGATGTGGAACATTTTCGTATATTTACTTGCTGCTTTTAATTCTTTGTCTGAGAAATGCCTGTTCATTTCAGATGCCCATTTTTGAATCAGGTCTTTATATTTGGGGAAGCTCAATTTTTTTTGCTCTTTATATATTCTAGATAATAGTCTTTTGAGGAGCAGCTGGTAAACATTTTTTCCCACATTGTAGGTTGTCTCTTAGTTCTGTTGATGGTTTCTTTTGCAGTGCAGAATTTTTTAATAAGATGAGATCCCAGTTGTTGATTCTATCTGCTAGTTCCTGTGCTACTGAGGATTTGTTCATAAAGTCTTTTCCTATGCCATTGTCTTCAAGAGTTCTGCCTAACTTATCTTCCAGCAAATTTAGTGACTTTTAAAAAAAATATAGATCTTTAATCCACTTGGATTTTAGTTTAGTGCATGGTAAAATATAATTGTATAGTTTTAATCATTGGCAGGTTGAAATCCAGTTTATCCACTACCACCACCACCACCACCATTTATTTGTTTCTTTGTTTCTTTGTTTTTTTTTTTGATACCAGAGATCAAATTTAGATCCTTGCACTTGTGAGGCAAGCACCAGAACCACTGAGCTAAATCCCTGGTCCTCTACCACCATTTACTAAAGAGGCTATCTTTTCTCCAGTGAGGATGGTTGGCTCTTTTGTCAAAGATGAGGTAGCTGAGTATGCCAGGTACTGTTTCTGCATCTTCTAATCTATTCCACTGCTCCACAGGTCTGTTTCTTTGCCATTACCATGCAGTTTTTAACAAATTGACTTTGTGTTATAGCTTCAAGCTGGGATTTGTGATACCCCCTGACATGTCTTTCTTTTTTTTTTGTTTTAATTTTGTTTATTGGCACATTTTAGGTATACAGTACAGTTACACTCATTATTGGGATCTTGCACCTTTACATGACAGGTCTTGGTTCTCATTTTTTCCCCTTGTCCCTGCCCTCTGTTCACCCCCTCCTCCCTTCCCTCTTTACAAACACTCCATTTCCATTTTTTCATCTTCTCATATTTTTTCTTTTCCCTTATTCTCTTTCCCCTATCTTTCCCACTTTCCCTACACCTTTAGCCCTTTTAGTCCTATTTCACATTGTTAATTATCTCATTAGGATCTTCTGTACCATTATAGTTTTCACATCAGAGAAACTATTCAGTATTTACACAAGTGTGACTTATTTATTTCATTTAGGAGTATATCCTCAAAGTATATCCATTTTCCTATGAATGAATCTAATTTCTAATTCTTTATGGCTAACTAGTTTTCCATTTTATAGAAAAACCATATCTTCTTTATCCAGTTTGCAATTGATGGGCAAATGGGCTGTTTCCAAGTTTTAGCTATTACAAAGTGTGCTGCTATAAACATAGGTGTACATATATCACTGTGATATGATTCTTTTAATTCTTTTTGAAAGTTACCCAGCAGAGGGATGGCCGGGTCAAATGGAACCTCTAGTCCCAGCTCTTTGAGGTATCTCCATATTGATTTCCATAGTGGTTGCTCCAGTCTGCACTCCCACCAACAATGGAGAAGGGTTCCTTTCTCCCCACAACCCCGCCAACATCTGTTATTGTGTGATTTCCTGATAGCAGCCATTCTTTGTGGGGTGAGGTGGAATCTCAGTGTTGTGTTCATCTGCATCTCTCGAATGACCAGTGATGTGGAGCATTTTTCATGTATTTACTTGCTGCTTTTACTTCTTTGTCTGAGAAATGTCTGTTCATTTCAGATGCCCATTTTTGAATCTGGTCTTTGCTGATTTTTTTGAATTCTTTATATATTCTAGATAATAGTTCTTTGTCTGAGGAGCAGCTGGTAAAAAATTTTTCCCCACATTGTAGGTTGTCTCTTAGTTCTGATGATAGTTTATTTTGCAGTGGTAAAACAGCATGGAACTGGCAAAGAAACAGACCTGAGGATCAGTGGAACAGACTGGAAGACACAAAAACAACTCCAGATGTACTCAGCTACCTCATCTTTGACAATGGAGCTAACCATCCTCACTGGAGGAAAGGTAGGATCCTTAATAAATGGTGTTGGAAAAACTGGATCTCACCCTGCCAAACATTAAAACTGGACCCTTATCTTTCACCATGCACTAAATTAAAATCCAAGTGGATTAAAGATCTAAATATTAAAGCAGAAACACTAAACTTGCTGGAAGATAAGGTAGGCAGAACTCTTGAAGACATTGGAATAGGAAAAGACTTTGTGAACAAATCCTCAGTAGCACAGGAACTAGCAGAAAGAATTAAGAACTGCGATCTCATCTTATT